TAATCACGTTAACCACTGCAAATAGAACAATAAATATTTCGTTTTTGTAGACTAACAGAATGTCAGTCAAATAGATACATTAATTTACCAGTTGACATGAGTCGATTTGATATCTTTCCGAGATTCTTTTAATACTTCTTATAATTTTTGAGTAAAATTTCTTTGTGAACTAAGAAAAAATGGAATGATACTGTTTTAATTTGTTTTCGCTATTTTTAAATGCATAATAATATTATACAAAAATAAAAATACATGACTTTGAAATATAAGTATTTTACATATTACATACCATACGTTGTTTAGTTTAGGCATTAATCTACGGATGAGTAATACAATTATTGTATCTCTAATTATGATAATGTTTTTGATTAGTTTTTAAACATATAATAGCAGAATTAAAATTTCTTATACTACCCATTAAAATCATCCGTATTTTTTTTTATGGCACTTTTCAAAATTTTGTTTTACATAATAGTTTTTTTTTTCTGAATTGACAAAATTTTGTGCACTATGTGTTAAATATTATGGAAAATTTATAATGTTTTGATATTCCATTTTGAGGACACGTAATTTTTTTACAACTTTCATTCATAGATAATTCAAGATAGGACAATGGCTAAAGTACTCAGCTATCAAAGAATGGGAGTTCCATCCCCGATGATAGCCCACCCAGCTTCAAATAAGTCGGTACCAACTCGTCCGGGAAGTTAATGCGGCTAATGACCACATTGAAACCCTGAAGCAGATGGTCTTAAAATAGGAGAATCTTAACCTTCATGACCCCTTTGTCCTACTACAGACTGATTTTATTAGGGATTGTTAAAAGGCACATGAAGAAAAATATAATCTGTAAAGAAGATTATGATATGTTAATTTGAGGATTAATGAAGTAGAATAAAATGAACCTATTCTGCTATAAAAAGTTATTTTATATACAATTACATTAAAAATTTTCATCAAACTGCGAAGTGCTTTGATAACTTTAGCAAAAAAAAAATTAAGAACTTCTTTAAGAAAGTGTACATTATGTTGCATGCTTATACAACTTAAATAATTGGTCGTTTTTCAGTTTTAGATTATGGCGCGAGTTTATTCATCACAAGAATGTTCCTCTTTTTCTTCTTTAAATGTTGCTGCTAAAAAAATTATTTTTTGACGATGTCTACTCACTCCCAAATTAAAAATTCTGTTAACTTCCTAATTATACATTTTAATTATTGCAAGTTGTCTCATTAAAGTGCAGTTTTTACTAAACTTTAGTAACCGAAAGAAATAGACAATTTGAATAGCTGCTTTGAATTATTGGTTAGAGAGAATTTATTTTTATTATTAATATTTAATTTCTTGTTTCAATAAAGCCTCACATTTTCTTGTCAAGGAGTTATATTTAACCACAGTAAAATTTTTGCAATCTAGTTAGAAGTTTACTGTCGTTTAGTAAATTAAAAGTATTTCAAAAACCTTTAAGGTTCTAATTTTTTATGGTTTTAAAATTTTGTAAGCTAGTATTAAAATAGCAGAAAGAAATAGGTTCAGAAGAAAAAGAAAGGTAGTGTAACTGTAACTGAATTTGAATTTTGTAATCTTTTACTAAAGAAGTGCTTTTAATGGATTTTAACGGATCTACTATTTCTTAACCCTTCTGAAAAAGAATTTTTAGATATGTGGATAATCAATCGCAAGTTAGGAGCCATGAGTTAATACAAGAATACCTTTTTTTATCCCCTATACTCTCATATCATGATAGTTGTTTTAAATTTCGCTTCGAGTTAAAATTTTATGAATTTTAACTTTTACAAATAAAAAATGTAAACAAATAAACAATTTCAGTCAGAATTTCTTATAGTAATTTTTAATAAATTTCATGAATAACAAGATTCAAAAGCTTCTTGAAAAAGTAAGAATGAAGCTTTGTTGAGTTCTGATGTTTCCAGCAGATTTCTATCTTAGTTTTAAAAATAATTAAGCTATGAATGCAAAAATAACATCAGATCATCAATAGATATTTAAAACTTAGTAAAAGACGCTCATACTACTTAACACCTATCAGTTTAAGCAAGTAAATCGAAACGCAACGGCATGACATTATTTGCAATCGGAATTGGCAATCATGATGTTAAAACAAAAATAACTTTTTTAAATATATAATTAAGATTGTAAATTTTCCCCCATCTTGTGGATTTTGAAAACTTATTACTAAGTATGTTTTCAATTTTATCTGATTTATTTCTAAAATTAGTCAAACATAAAATCTTTCTATAACGTAAAATCTAACCATTCTTAAGATTGCATGCTTAATAATAATATTATTATTATTAGTATGAAGAATGCAATCTTAAGTATATTCATAGTAAAAATTACTGAAAAAATATGTTGTGTATTATCAGAATTTGATAATATCACCAACATTTTGTCTCCTTTATCAATTTCTTTCAGTTTTAGAGGGTTGTTGAGAATGTATGTACTACGTCACCCTACTAAGGGCAGAGTGAATGTTCTATAATACTTAAGGACTATTCACTCAGACGTCATCCGACGCTTTTCAAAAAGTTTCTCTAGGTCCAACGGATTCCTGCGCCCTCTAGCAACACTTAAAGGAAACTGTTAACTGATACAGTAGGTTTATATTATTGACATTCTACGATTATATTAAGTGTTTCTGTCATAGTTTAGTTTATTTCAGAACAATTATAGTAAAAATGATGATTATATTTATTGCATTGAGGAATGAAGGAAATACTTCTGTGTGTGATATTAGCTATATAATTATGTTTTTTGTTTTGCATCATTCTAATAGAAATTGTTAAATAGAGATAGATTTGCGTGAACTTATGTTAGTGTCTCGAAATATTTCAATATTCTGCATTTATGTAGAAACTAAAATTTTCGAATTAATTCCAAATATTTTATTTTAGATTTAGTTTGTGTATGAAATGCTTCTGTCTTACTTTTATTTATTTTGATTAATTTCATTTTGTTAAATAAGAAATTCTACTATAATGAGGTAAAAAAGCAAAGTACATTCATAATATTTTCCGGGATTTATTCTTTAGTTCAAAAATGAGTAATGGTATATGATATTCATATATATAATTAAATTAAACATTTAATTAAACGTTAGAATAAATTCCAAACAAGGAAAATGGTGAGGAAATAAAAGGTGTAAAGTAAATTGCAATTTATTTTGAAAAATGCGCTTTAGTCTTCATTAACATCAGTTACATGCAGTTTATTCTTAAATAATAAACATCTATGCATTTCATCGAACAAAAATAAAGCAAATAACAAAAGAATTTCATAAATTCAGTTAAAAATAATATTTTAAAAAAACGATAAACCCATTAATCTATCAAGTAATTAAACTTCTTGTTGTAGCGTGGTGTAAAAATCGTCTGGGCCAGCTTCCAAATTTTTGTTCCATGTTTGGGGCAAATAGTTTACTGGGTACTGAGGAAAAAAAAGGGAAAGGAAAAAAAGCACGTCTCCTTTATATATGCTTTCACATTAGATTCGAAACTTCTTAAGTAATTCTATGTAACAGAATGTATAATTTGTGATTGTTTACTAAATATTTAATAGTTGTTAAAAACGTAGATTTTGAAATACAGCCGAATATGAGTACCACGTAAGAGAAATAAGTGTTAAGACTATATCAAAGATATACAAGGTATGCTTTATTTATATTACGTATGCTTGTCAAAAGAAACTTTTAAATCTGAAAAAAGAACGTGTTAGTATTTTGTATGAGAACTTGAATATTTATTCTATCAAAAAATTAATTAGTTAACGATTCAATAGAATAACTCAATATTATATCATTACAGCTGACCGTAACAATTTAGTCTTTTCAAAATAACCTTTACAGTTTGATTATACAAAAAAAAACAATATGAAATCTTAGATAATACATGAAATTATATCATTATTATTTGAAATTTTAAGATACATGAACATTTATCAAATGCTTCTATTTGAGAATTTTTGAACGATAATTTTAACATATTTCAGACACGATAATTTTAACATATTATTTAACGTATTTAAGAATTGACATTATTCAATTGTTTTGCTGGCATATTCTATTTAATTTAAAATGAACTAATTTGGTGAATTTTGGTTTACTTAGTCACTGGCGTTGTTCCTTCGTTGATGAGAATAAGAAATGAGCGTGTCCTAGTTTCCCAATTTGGACATACTGTTGCAGCTCTCATCTACATCATTTATTTTGCTTGTTGTTACTTGTTAATACAATTTTTTAACTGCAAAATCTGACTAGAAATAATTTTTAGTTAGTAAATCCCTTCAGATTAGATAGCAAAGAGTTGAGGATTATGAAAATTCAGCGCTTCATCGTTTACATTCAAAAATATTGACCTACTTTTCTAATCGTGTAAATAAGGAGAACAAAAAGTAATGCAATATGCAAAATAAAGTTCATTTTTTAGAATGATGATCAGTTTCAATTAATTAATCAGTTTACAATCAAGTTTACTGTTTCGCTTATTGCTAAAAATTGAGTTATAAAAATTTTAACAATTCCAAAGAATATGACACTCAATTGCTTTGACAAACATTTTCCTTATTTGCTTATTTACTTTTATTAAGATTGCTTAATTGATATTTATTTAATTTTTCCATAAAAATTAAATCAAAAATTATTTTTAATGCCACCAAGTCGTTTTGATGCAAATTCAGTTCTATCTCAACTCGATCTAATAAAACATACGCTAGACTTTGAAACTTTTAACAAACGCTTTAACCCAAAACAAACATCAACACATGATAAATGCTCATGAAATTATTCATAAAAATATACACAACATAATAAATATTTCAAATAAAAAATTTCAATAGCAATACAAAAAAGAAATGCAAAATTTATGCATTAAGAGCTGAAAATTATTACGAATAGAAAATAATATATTTTTATTTTCATTAATTTTAGAGAAATCTTGAATTTTAATTAAACCATAACATAAAATGCTAAAAATATTACTCACAGGTCCAATATTTGTAAATCCGTTCCTCTTGGCGACTTCGTTGGCGACTTCATTTCCGTGTCCATCAGTCAATTCGACGAGAAAAGCGTTGGTAAATACTTCCTCGGCCGAAACCACATCTCCACTGGTCAACGTGAAGACTACGGCGATGACCGATAGCCATTTCGCTAGCACAAGTGCAGGCATAAGGAACCTGCGGAACAATGGAAAATCGGTAGCGATCTATCTGCAGATCACCTTAGCAATAAATTACAGCCTGAAAATTTAGTACTAGTCTCAATCGTTTGCTACGATGACAGAGGGACTTGTGGTTGGAATCACCCTTATGACACCTTAGTCCCTAACAGAAAAGGTTTGCTATTCAAGCAAGGTGTCTGTGCATAGAATGTATTGGAAGGAGGCAGCTGGGGCGGCGTGCGGGCGATGACGTAATTGCGCGGGCGCAACGAATTGGTTTTGGTTAGAAGAGTTTTCGATCGATCCCTTCAATTTACTTAAGTTGGGTTCTTTTTTTCCTAGATTTTTTTTTTGCTCAAACCTTCCTGAAGAATGTTTCGCATATTTCTTTTCTGATATGTTTTGACATTCAGTCGAAGAAATATTGCAATGCGTTTTGCTGATGGGGCAAAAGATGACGATATATTCACTTTGAATTGGATTTGTAAAATAGTTATCATACATCTGCATAACTCACCTTGAACTTGAAAATTTATTGCAAAGAGAGTTATATATTACCTTTAGTAAATAGCTAACAAACGTTTTCCCATGAATTCACGAAATCAATTTTTCCATTATAAATATTTATTTTATTGATAACTTTAAAAAAAAAAAAAGAATTAAACAAAATTTTCCGGAAAAGGATGAAGAAAATTGCCTTTCGTCGTACGTGTAGATTTTTTTTTCAACAAGTATATTGAGCTATTTCTTCTAGATAAGTATGAATTCATAAGGACACGTGAAACCTTATAAATTGATCATTCAAAAATCATTAATCATTTTGTATTACCTTTCCCGAATAAAATTTTTTGGAAAGTATCAATACTGATAATCAATACTTATTTTAATGCTGACAATTTTACGTTTATTATCACAAAAATTAGATTTTTATAAAAATACTAGGGGGAAAAGCCCCCTGTTCGCTACCGCTCACAAACCCTAATGATTGCCTCGCAATAATTGTTTTTTCTTGGCAGAAAACAGTTTTTCTTCTAAAGTTAAAAATGTTCACTTAACATGTATGTACTAAAAGGAATTCTGCTTACTTACGCTCTTGCGCCTCTACTTCCCACGTCCAAATATTACTATCTATTAGTATTATAAACATTTAGATCTCTTGGTGAACAGAAGTAATTTTTTTAGTTTAAATTTTTTTAAATAACAATTATATTCTCAATACATTATATTGTTCAAACAAATTTGATGAGTTCTAAACCATATATAGATATATTTCTCTTACACGGCGACAAAAAAAAAGCCTCATTACAACTCCCCGAATGGCAACGCTAGAAAATCGACCAATGATTGCCGCTAAAAATTTCATATGCCAAATCTAGCTGAGGTAGCTCAACATATAGCACTTTTAAAAACGGAAGCTGAAATAACCGGAGAGAGCATTCTTACCAAATGTGATCTTTTCCGAAATTCACCCTATCAGCTGCGGCAATCTCATACTATTAAGCTAGGCAGAAGTGAGTAGTCTTTGTCGATAGATCTCTATTTTAGTATTTTGTCGAAAGCGCTTTTTTTCACGAATTTATATATATTACGAATTTATATCACGAATTTATTTAATTTATTATTGTTATTATTTATCCATTGAAAAATGAGTCACAGTCGTGTTGGTACGCTTTAAGATTTTATACTATAGCACATTTCTAATAGGTTTAACGAATTACATGTCATTTATTTGAATTCAAATTTATTTTAATTACTTAGTTCTTACTAAAAAGATGTTTTGTTTTTTTAAAGTTGTTATATGGATTTGAATGATTGTTTTGAATTCTTAGAATTTTGTGCATTTGCAATGCACCTAAGTTAGTAGCGAGCGAAGCGAGCTTGATTTGTTAAGCTAACCATACAAGATTGCGTAGAAATTTTCGGGGGGTGGCGAGCGTTAACGAGCAGGGAGCGCAGCCCACTAGTAATTTAAAATTTTCGCTAATAATAGCAGTACTGAAAATTAACTTTAAATTTGGGATACAAAAATATTTAGAGGAAAACAATACCTTTACGACTATTGTTAATTTTATGCTGATGACAACCTAAACAATATGGAAATGAATGGGGGGAAACTAGATCCTACCACGTGATTTTCCGGCCAATAAAAATTCGCCGACAACAATGGAAAACGGTATCAGACCATTATGATTTTATGTTATATAGAGATAATATAAAAATATTTCCTTTGAAACGTGATAACTATGATGTCTTAAATTATTGCTAAAAATGTTTTGCTGAAATAATGAATTCAAAACTTTTCATAGTTGTTTGAGTACATTGATCGTTTAATTTTTTGAAAAATAATATTTTGAGAGGAATTTTTTTTTTTTAAATTTTACTCAAAATTTCTGAAATTAAATAAGTGTCAATTTGTATTTTTTACATGCGTCTGTAATTAAAACTTGCAGATTTATGCTTCCAATTAATGTGCGAAGGACAATTTTTGCCTTTTTTCATTGTCACATATTTTCATACAATGTCTTCTTTCTTCTTTCAAATCCTCCATTTCTAGCTTGGCTAGACAAGGTCCGTGAGTTTGTTCACCTTCAGAAAGTCTAAAACAAGTAAGGGTCTTTCTATAAGGTCTTGTTTTAAAAGACCGAGGCAGACCAGTAGATGTTCAGGGGATGGCTGGGCCGAAGAGCACTTGGTACAGAGGGCAAAACACTTTTCTCCTCCAGAGTACCTCAGTGATTTCAGGTCTCCACAGCGGAGTCGTGTGATAGCGGTTTGAGACTGTCGGTCCTTTTTATACAATGTGATATGATTTATCAGAAAAATTTGCATTAAATTGTTACATATTTCAAAATTAGAAATTTCATATCAATCGAGATAATAGAAATTCTAAAATGTTCCCTTTAAAAGATCTCTTTACTCCTTAAATGTGGTTCAATAAAAAATTAAAAGTGATTCTATGATTGATAAGTTTAAATAATAAAAACAGCATGCATAAAAAACAATATATATGGCACAGTAGTGCGATGCATGATAGTGTCTCGAGTCTATATAGTTCCGTGTCGATCAAACTATTTATTGTTAAACACTGAGAAAAAACTGCGATCAAAACTAGTAGAATATGGAAAAAATTTTACCATATGAAAACACTTACCATATGGAAAAAATTTACCATAGCTCTACGGGAATGCCAAAGAGCTCAGTAATTTTTACCGAAGCGCTTCGCTTATGATTTTGGTAAATTTAACAATAAAATATGATTTTATAATGTGTTATAAAACTCGGTAAACATGAAAAATTTTGTAATTCTATATGTAATTTGTAACTACGACTCTGGCATAAAAACCATTTATTCGATAAAATTTACGTTTTGCTTTTGTATTTTTTACTATTATGATAATAAGAACAGTATTTTCCGGCTTTTCCGGTAAGCCGTTACTATATATACGGAAATATTGCCAAATGAAAGGTTAAATACTGTATATTTTGGTTTTTATTAACATTTGGAATTCTTGGAATAATAATTGGAATTTCTTAATCTGGAATAATTTCATTAAGAATTATGTTTTTTTAATCAAAAATATCATTACCATACAGTACTGTAATTTCACCAGATTTTTTTTTCTCTGATTTTTTATATTTAATTTTAAAATATTTTTTTTTCGTGTTAATCAAAATATCTGCCAACAAAGAGAACACCTCAATTTAGTTAATTTATTTTCAGTTAACGATTGTAAGGACAAAACAATACGGCAGCACCCGTAATTATAAAAAAACAGTAATTTTAAGTCTTTAAAGAAGTCAAAGAAACCTAATGAAACGTGGATTGGAACAAAATGTTAGTGTTAGATTTGTTTTCGTTCAAATAGTTAATATTAGCGTTAAAGGGAAAAGAACTATTATTGTAAGAACCGTGCAATTTGTGTGCAGCATATACACGAATAAGAATAGAACACAACGTCGTAACCTAATAATTTTAAGCCTTTTTCAGAGAAATAGATAAATAAAGCAGATGATAATTAAAACAAAATATTTGAACCTACGCCAATTTATCTCACAATGAGAATAGTTAATACTCACATTAGATAGAAAGGACATGAATTATCGTAAAGATCCTGTTACAGCACGGATAAATGTAGAACACAACATTATAACATAATAATTTTAAGTCAATTTTGCTTTCAGAGAAAATAGTTAACAATCATGTTTTATTATTATTATCGCCAAGACCATCAATATTATCATAAAGACCATAATAATTTTAAGCTTCCTCCAAAAATAAGTGAGCTTTATGATATGATAAAGTGCCAGATTTGCTTTCAATAAAAGTAGTTACCATTTTCATGTTATATGCAAAAGAATTATCAAATATTGTTAAGACCAAGCAGTTTACTTATGAGATATATAGGATAAGTTTTGGACACTATACTATAATATAGTAATTTTAAGCTTCCTTAAAAAAACAATAGAACTTATCAGGGCGAGAATCATTCAAAACAATTAAAATTCATGTTATATTGAAAAGAAATCCGGTACCGTGCGAATATCACGATTATAACTTCATTCGCTGGGTGGCGCAGTTGGTTTGTCGCCGGCCTTCTGAGTCTAAGTCTGCGGGTTCGATCCCCAGGCCAGACACCGGATTTTCGGGATGCATAAAATCCTCAGCGGCCAAGTCGTATGATTATGCGACATGTAAAAGATTCCTGGAGTGCCTTATTGGCTCTTGGCATTTCAGGAAAAATTAAATTCCTAGTGCACTTTAGCATCCAAATAGAGTCTCGGTGCTGTCATCTAGTGTGGCAGAAACTAGACGTCCAAATTAACATGGCCAACGGTATCTCACCCATTGTGGTGGTCCTGAAACAGTGGATACTTTTTCTGGAGAACGCACTAGGTCTGCTCATCGGGAAGACTGATTGTGCAGCTCATAGGAAATAAATAAATAAAATTAAAAAACTTCACTTAACATTTGTTTCAGTCGAGATATAGTATCTCTCGCCTTTGCTTCACACAAACAAAGGTATAAATTAAATTCTACTGCAAGTAAAAAATATGTAAGTTACTTTTTTTGTTCTAACAGCTGAATTCTGTTTAAAAAAAATTTTCCCTAAGAACGGGATTGAGACAGAGCAATGAAAAAATTATTCTGGATTAAATTGCGGTATAAAGTACCAGCACTTTGAGTGCACCATTCGTAAAACTCATTTTTACTGT